AGAATCACGTGGATGATGGAAAATGTGATCTGAATAGGTCCGTGTTGAGTTAGGTCGTGGAGGAACGAAACGAAGATAACGAAACGATCAACGATAATATCAACGAGCGATCGTCGCCGATACGTGAATTTATTGCTTGTCATTAGTATGGACGTGTATAATTGGGGATCATATTGTATAACATGTTGAAAATACGACAATGATGGGGTCAGAATTCCAATATAGGAGCAATTATTTATAAACAATGGCGCATTAATGTTAATGTACACATCGGACGATGACGATGATATAACAAGCTTTCTATGACGAAACTAATTGCGAGCGGAGGCATTCAGCATCTACTAAATGCGATAATTAAACCATCCACTACATTTACTGATTAAACATAATGGAATATCCATCCAAATTTGTTGCCTTCCGTGATAATAATGTAGATGCATGAAAAGATTGCATTCAAATTAATCTCTTAGCTAACGAAATTTCGCCCATAATAAGAACCATTGTAGAAAAGAGAGAGAGAGAGAGAGAGAGAGAGAAGCAGAGTGCTATTATAACCGTTTACAATACAAGAATCAATTATTAATGACGATAAATCTTTTGTTACATATATTGGAACTTGGAAAATTAACGCTGAGAGAACAACTCACAAACGATTCAATTTCCATTAATCTTTCATTTTCCCAAGCATCTTCATCTTCCTTTTTTTTTCCTCCCTTCCTTCCTTTTCTTCGAGACTGCTTCCATCCCCCTCCCTCCTCCCCTCCCCTTGCAGCACTCGCTACTCTCGCCGTAAAGTCTTTATCGGAATCGAGTTAATTACGTATCGATAGCCAGCCAGCATTCACCGGACAATTTTATCCGGGCTAATAAGAGGCGGAAGCGAGGCGAGGAAGGAAAGAAGAAATTATATCGGCGGAGATAGCGAGTACGAATGGAAAAAAGAAGAAAAAGAAAAAATATCTGAAAGCAACGAAATCATCCCGGATAAACTTTTAATAGATCCCTAGGTTAATCTTTTTTTCTTTTTTTTTTTTTTTTTTTTTCAACAAAATTCCATTCGCCGGCCAGACACAGAGGGGAGGAAGAAACGGCGTTTCCCGATCCGTGGAAATAACTTCGTGCTTTCAATGAAGTCGAATCGCGCCATTCAACCCGGTCCGCTTCCTGATTGACGACTCGCGCCGAGGTAATCGCTCAATCGGCGAGCACAGACAGGTGAGGCGGGCAGGCAGCAGCTATCTTCTTTCCCTTTGAATCGAAGCCATCTGCACGCAGCTTGCCCGCCCCCCTGCCCTCCTCCCCTACGGACAGCCCGCTCGCGTGTCTCGTCACTCACGGCTACGGCATCCCGGTGGTGCTGTCGAATCAATTTCATACCCGATCGAAAGTCAATCTTCGAAATGAACGTCGAAAGGTCAATATTGAAACGAGTCGCTTCGAAATTTATCGAGACGGTGCACAGAGGACGCTTGTTGGAACGCTTGAGCAGGGGGAGGAGGGGGTAATATTTCGAAGAACGCCTACACTGCAGACAGCCGCCGTTCCTTCGTGCGTGCATCGAATTACACGATAAAAATATTTTTCTGTCGTTTGTGAATTTTGTGAATTGTTGTTGTTGTTGTTGTTGAATTTTTCGTATCGATGGGTTCGGGTTGAAGAGCGCGTTTTGAAGAATCGTGGCACAATGCCCTCGCACGAAGAATACGTTTTTGATTGCATACAAGATGCAACTTGTCGTGGAATTCGCGGGATCAAGTGATTTCAATCCTTGTAAAAATTTTCTAAGAAATTGCTCGAGATGATTGCTGGTTTTTTTCGAATATTTAAACTGCATTAAGATATTTTCACATTCTCGTGCGAAAATTGAACGTGTTATCGGCTAGCAGTTGCTCTATACAAAATACGTGTAGCTTAGAATTTCATTTCATCAAAGAATATTAATTATAAAGTTTGTAAGAATAATAGCATAAGGAATGTTTAAAATTAGAAATACTATGGCAATTCTTGATTTATTCCGATAAAATAAAAATAAACATCGAGAAACGTTTCGTCTTTAAAAAAAAAGAGAAGAAGAGAAAAGTGTATACTCTCTCTAACGTTCTCCAGAAAGAAAGATCAAAGCGAGCAACAAAATTAACAGCCTACTAATCTTCCTAAAATTTTATAAAAAAAAAAATCTCATTTTAATAAACATTTTAATAAACTCGTCCAAACCGACCTCATCTAAAAACTTCAACTTAAATAAACGAACGTACGAAACGTAAAAATTCCCTTCGTAGTGGTGCGAAAACCCCGTTTCGAATTTGTCTCCTCCGTGGGAGGAAACGTGTTGCTCTCGGCCGGCGAAAACAAGGGGCAAAAAAGGTGGGAAAGGCCACCTTTACGGGATGTTCTCCAAGACAGGGTGGAATGGAACGTGAGGGAGGAAGAAGTGGAGGGAAACTGGATGGTTGCTCGACGACGAAAGAACGGCGCGACAGGATTGCATTGGATCGTGAGGGACGGACCGTGAAGGGGTTGCAGTAGAACGAAATACAAGAGGGTGGGAGAGGCGAACGATATCCATTCTCATTCCTCCGTGGGGAGTGGATGTTGCGCGAACGAACCGCAGAGAAGATGCGAATACCGATGGCACACGATGCTGGAGAGAGAGCGTGTTAGGTTCGCGCCTGTGTACGCCTGTTTCGCGCCCGTTGTTGTACCAACGCGCTACTACGCGGCCGTGTAGATTTACACCCGTTTTATTGCCGCGGCATACTTGCTTTTGCGAATACGGCGGGCCACGCTGCGCCCGGATTTTCGCCGCACGATGGAATTTCGTTATTTCCATCCCAGGGAATCCTGAACGGCTTTCCCTTCCCTCGAAACCCCCGACACCGCCATTGGGTGAAAAAAAACCGAACGAAATGCGTCACGCGTGTCTGCACGCGTTTTTCCCCGCGTCGCATTCCTGGCATAGATCGATAGATCGCGCGTCACTCGAGGATACGTGATGTAAGATGAGCGTAGGGAATTATTTTCTCATGTGGATCCTTTATGGATCCGAAGATTTGATCGGTTTTGAAAAGAGGAAGATTTATTGAATTCGTTGTTCTCCTTGAATTGATAAAACTTTCACGATCAAATCGACGAACAATTGGATAATTCTGATAAATGGAACTCGTTCAAAATTCATGTTCCTCGGAATCGTTTTTCAATCAATCGCGGTTATATTCTGTTTTAAATATTCGTGATAGAAATGAATTGTATCAGTGTATATAAAGGAGATGGAAACTTTACAACTTATTGGGGTTAATTTAAGAATTTTTTTTTATGAAGAATTGTTGTGAATTTCTTTTATCTCATTGCGATTATTGTTATTCCATTATATTCAATTCCTCCTCGTAATTGGGTTACAGATACGTATACGAAGATATAAATATGAAAGTGGGGGGAAAGTTTGGTGATATATGTAGGCCACGATTCTCAATTTTCGAGTATAGAATATATAATTTTATTTATAATTCGAAATTTTTTTTATAAAAAATCGAACGAAACGTAGAGATACTGTATCATGAAATTTACAACTCGATGTAAGTAAATATTGCATCGATAGTTATTGTATACTTCGTGCGATATATTATAAAATAAATGTTATCGCAATGTACCAATAAAAACACGTTATTTGAATATTCATAAAAGATAAGCAAATAGTAAATATCGTATATTTTACGTATTTTTTATCTCAACAACAGAAAAAACCACTTACAAATATTGCAGAAAATTAAATACCAATCAATATTAATCATATTTTTTTTTTTATGTAAGTGCCAATAATATAACATCTCTATTATTTAATTAGAAAATTAAAATCAAATTTAATATTTTTAAGCAGCTCGATGAAATTCGAAAGAATCTTTGGATAATCCAATAACTTGACACTCTGAAATAGTATTAATAGATATGAAAAATACGGTTTGAGAGGAGAATTAATCCACATACGGATATCAGAATGCAAGCGTACGTTTCTGATATACAATGGTTTCGATTAGACGGTAGGAAACGTATCAAGTTTAAATTGAATAATGCTTGTTCAGCAAAATGAGCCTCCATCGTGCGATAACGCCTGCAACGATAATATGTAATTCAATTAATATCCTTGGCGCGTGGGATTTGCCCGAGTTCGTACTATCAAACTACCATGTGTTCCCCTCGAATTCTCACTCTCGAGGTATTTCCTCTCGGTATTTCCTGGCTGATCACCATTCCCCTATCGTCGACCTGTATCGCGTGAATATACATTAATTTTTTTTTTTTTTTCCCCCTCATTTTTGCCACGTTTTAATATCGGCCGCCGTTCAATTCACGAATTCACATTTGCTCGAATGTTCTCGACAATGTGAAAAACGATACGAGTATAATTGTTTAATTCGCTCCCTGTGCTTTAATTCGATTCGCGCTCATTTCGTTTCCGGTTAAAAATAATCGTTCAAATTAGTTCCGTCCGGGGAAGAAGTTTTGAAATTAACGGCAAATGTCTAATTGAGTCGAATCTACGTTAAATTAAATTATACAATAACGTTTCCAGAAAGTTGACCAATAAGGTTTAATCGGCGATTCTTAAGGCGATTTTCAAACTACTTTACCCTTTGCGAGAATTTTCGTTTCGAGTTTCTTAACGATTATTTTGTTATTGGAGGAAAAACAAATCGTAGGAGCTCGTGTTGCACTTATGCGATGGTAGTGTTGGGTATGTGCCGTCAACGAATCGTCGAGCTCGAACAAACAAATCGAAACAACAAATATGCTGAATTATTTACGAATAATGAATAAAGTAATTAGATATACGTTGCTTGATTAACAGCACGATATCTAGCCTTGAAATTTCATCAAAAGAAATGATACTATTATAAGTTCTTGCATTTAACATTATTACCTGTTTACCAATTGTTTTACCAATTGTTTACCCATTCTACTTTATATTTCCTTCAAAAAATAATATCCGTGTGAGAAATTCATACCTGAGTGTTTCTGGTATATCCGTAACCCATAAATCTTTCGTCGTGAGCCGGAACGATATCCTTTGCCACGTAGAACGGTTCGTAAAGGAATTCAAAGTTCGTCACGTCATGACTGACGTACACCTTCCCACTCTTCATATTTCCATACCTTTTATGATTAGGAGAGGTATCCAGTATCCATCTAAACGAACAACAACGTACGCACGTAATTTTATTCATTAAACAAACGATAAAGAAAAAAGGAATAAATAAATAAATAAATAAATAACGAACGAATATAAGAAACGTCCTCACCTGGTGAAATTGGTGGCGAACTGATTGTGGATAAAGACTTTCTGATGGAAGGGTCTGGCCAACCCCTTCCTCGCCAGCCTCACCAATTCCGTCTTATTCTGCGGAAATCTGACGCGTGAGTCCAGCTCGTACGTCGGTATTACGTAGGCGCACTTATCACAGGTATCGGCTCTAAGAAATTCATCGAGGGCGCCGGTCAAATTGAAACTCGGCACGATATCTACATCGGTCAGGAACACGTAATCGGACTGGCAATTCTTCCTGGCCAGGTTCCTCATGTGATTCTGGGGGTACGCGTTCCGTATCCGCCAGTTGGCCTGCTCGTTCGATATTCCATTCATCAACTCGTTCAACGTCCCCTCGGGTTTGGCACAATCCACCATGTCGGGCGGGTCAAATTCACGCGGCTGCCTCTTCACCGGTCTAACCCTAGGCACGGCCAACGAGAACGCCACCCTTTCCCGTATCGGCTCGTAACACTTTCTCAGGTAAATCAGATACTTCTGAAGAACCTCGAACTCCTCGTCGCCTGCCACGTACAAGGCCACCGACATAGGCCCCGTCCAGTGGTGCGCCGCCTGGACGATCGAGTGCAGCTTCTCGACGGAGCTCTGCGTAGCCAGGCAAACCCGATACGCCCGTGACAATTTAACGAAACTCGATCCAACGAGGATGTGGTCGAAGGTACGGAACAATCTACGAGCATCCCATCTGCCGAGATTTATGTTCAATTTTAACTCGGTCGCGTCAACTGGCAACGATTGGTAATCTTGTGTGACGCAGTCCGATTGTTGCTGCTGCTCTTGCTGCGGCTCTTTGATTAAAGTGCCGAGGTTCCACTCGGTTATAGCGTTCGATCCCAAATCCCTCGGCATTATGATCGGGAGGCAAGTCTCCGACTGCAGCAACAGGAAAGTCAACGCGATATTCATGAGAACCAGAATAACCAGGCAGGTCAGACTTAAGTTCGATGGCCGACATCCCAACTGCATATGAAAATCAAAGAGTTTGTCGTTTTAATAAATCTGGCTTTTTTTTTTTTTATGGGATGATCAAGAAAAAGAAAGAAAGCGATAATGGTGAAACGATTAAATGTGGAAAATTCAATTCGTAGACGATAAACTTTTATTTATATAATTTGTCAAACGGACGAATTAAAGGTTAGATATGTGAAAGAAATCGAGTCTGAAATTTTGAATCGATGTTATTTTTTCTTGATATATATATATATCAAGAAAATCAAGTTTATAGTGTATAGATTTCTCGAAATACGAGATTATTGACACGGAGAAACAGAAGTGAGAACATAGTTTGAAATAGCAGTTATAAGAAGAAAAGGAAGTAAGTGCATCGTTTATATCATACGAAACTAAAACGTCGAGCGAAATATGGCTACGATTATAAGTTTGAAACTTTGTTCGCCAAAGTTCGCCGAGAAAAAAATCATGCCACAGCTATTTCACTGCAAAACATGGGGTAAACAAGTTTTCGATGTCTCGATAAGGAACGAAGTCTTTGGCAACAGGGTATATTGGGTCTGTCTAAAACAGAATCGGGTTGCTTGTTTTATCGTTCTAATTACCACGTCCTCGGTTTCTTGTTGCCGGTAGTAACAAGAAAAATAAAATATCATACTTTGATAAATTATTAAGAAATATTACTAGATCGTTTTGACGTATCGCGATATTTAAAACTCTTAAAATTAAATGAATTTTTCTTTCTTTCAAAAGAGAATTATGAATCTAAATAAATATGAAAATCAAAAGGCAATAATTCTTAAAGATAATCCAAGTATTACATCAAATACTTAAAATAATATAGTGATTCATATTGATAATGAAAATTATATCTCGCAACATTAAATTAAATTAAATGTTACGTATATTTGATAACTTTTTTTTTTAATCTTTATCTTATTGACACATATATGTCCATTTATTTTTTGTTTTGATAATATTGTGTACATAACACAAGATTCAAATACGTATATCTGAGAAGCTATGACCGACTCAAATATACTATCTGTATGAATGATTCAATCATGTAGATATCTTTTTAGAAATTTTTCTTAAATGTAATCTGATTTAGAAGATTGGTTTAAAATTTAATGATTTTTATGCACTTCTGATAGTCTAATAAAAAAATATTTCCAATAAAAGTTAATCAACATCATTAGGAATTTGAAAAAAGTTTAATTTCAATGAAAAGTTAAGATCACCTTGATTTTTTTATAGATCGATTTTAAGAAAAATTCAATATGATCTTCATTAAAAATAATTTTGAACTAACAATATTGTATTTCAATATTTCTGTTAAAAAAGATTTTATTTTCTTTGAAAAAGTGAAAGAAATCAAAACACTTTCTGATGGAAGATGAGTCGTTACTTAATACTAATTTCTTAGTAATACAAAATCATTTCATTTGTCGAATCGAATAATTAAAATTCTTAATTTAAATATAATAAAAATATAATAGTAAAAAAATTTGAAAAACTGACATTACATTTCAAAGATGAATAAAAATAAAACAAAATGTATACATATTCCTCAGAATTGCAAAGTTTAATTAAGTTCTACTGTATAATATAAATAATTATTATTTCTTTCCATGATAGGATTTTGTTTAATATCTTGTCTCTAAAGATTCTATTTTTATAATCGTGAATAAAATACATAAAAAGCAACTTATATAATCATCTCATGTAAAGACATAAAAAGAGAAGAAAAAGAGTGATTATTTAAAAAATTAAATATAAATAAATCTTTAACGTGTCATATTATTATAATCAATTTAAACCAGTTTTAAAATAGTTAAAAATATAATTTTATAAATAAATAAATAATACCTTACATTAATATCTTTCAATTTATTTCATAAATAAATAATCATTTTTTTAATAAAAATTTAAACATTCCTAATTTTTGTTAATGTAATTTTTACAACAATTAACGATATGCATAGACATAAAACCGATCAAATTTAGAGATTAACACAAATTAAACAGCTATTTTCCCTTCGAATTAGCTCGTTTCCTTATCTACAAAATAATGTTCTACATTTATAACCTCAATATATATGTACGTACATCGATATTAACAACAAAATTACTCCATTCTGCAAGAAGAAAATTTACCAACAGATACACGCATCCAATGATTTTCTGGAAAGAATTCGCAATCGTGCCTGAGAAATAGGAGTAGTAAGAGGATGGATCGTAGCATTCATAATAATAGCGCAATTACAGTGGTAAACGGAAGAAAACAGATTGTAGGTATTGTGAGACAGCGACCAAAATGTACGCGGCAGAATTCCCTAGGGGATCCAGTGAAATTTTGCTTGGAAACAGCGGCTAGAGTGATAATGGATCGTACGACTTCCCTGGGTACATTAAAATCACGATCATATATAAGCCACAGTACCAGAACAGGTCAAGTATTTAATGAACAAAATTCATAGTTCGCACCTTTGGCAATATAATCTCTATGTCCGATGCTATCTTCGATACGCAAAGTGTCCTGTATAACTCTTGTACCAATCCTAATGATTCTATTTACGAACAAGATTTAAGTAGTTTATCTATATAAACGTATTATTCTCTCGTGTGATCATTAGAAGATTAAGTTATTTGATTAAATCCGTGATTTTGAGAATTATTTTTCTTTTATCAATTGAACGGTTTCTTTTGTATTAGATATAATTCATTATCGATATTTAATTGATAATTAAATCGTTTTATTAAGAATATTATTAAATATAAACATTGTATTGATCTTTTGGCCACTTTTATAATGGAATAATAGATTTTAATTTAACAGCTCTTGGCTTATTAAAAATTATAGAAGACACTTTTAAATATAGAAAAATCATCGAATAATCATTCGAATAAAAAATTCTTCCATTAATTAAATATATAATTTAATTAAAACATTTATTTACTCGACTTCTCTCCGGTTTCACGCTTCGTTAAAAATTAAATAGTAAAATTATAAAAAAAATACACACCTCGGCATACAAATAGAATAGGAATGGAAAACAACCCGTACTTTTTCTCATATATAATTTTATCAAATTCAATTATAAGTATTTTCGCGAGAATGAATAATAGTATTTTTTTTTTGGAAAATAAGGAGATAAATTTTAAAAATTTATCAATTATCAACATCTTGGGAATAACACTTAGACGAATAATCGTGATTATAATTGGATAAACCGACGGACATAAACGCTAACTGAAGGGTCGAGGGAAAAAGGAAAGAAACGAAATTACGGATGAATGTGAATCGGTGTATGTGTAAAGTGTCCGCAGAAATGGCGGTATTACCTTGGTGCAGTTGTGGTTCCGTCTACTTGTACGCGATCCTAAGGGAAAAATGGGGAACCCGATTGCGTCCGCTGCAGCCAAGATTTTTACAAGCCGAAACTAACCTCCCGTATAACTGTGCACCGTACTGTAAAAGCGCGCGAGAAAAATTTCTGCCGCGCTACCTGAACCTCGAGAGGCGTTTTCATCTGCGTTTATACGCAGACGTATTAACTTATTCTGACGCGATGCGGAAAAAAAAAAAAAAAGAAAGAAAGAAAGGAAGATGTCTCCATATTTAGACTATGGTATATTTATTTGCATACTACGTTTCGCGAAATGTTCGTTTGCATACTATTAGCCCGTGACGAATGTGGCTCGTCGAGGGGTTGACAATGTACACGCATCGCATCATGAGGTTTAAAAAAAAGAATATCGAATAATTAATATTTATGGAGATGGGAATATGTATGTATGGAAATTTTATTACTTCTCACGAATATATTGGATTCCATTACGACTATTATGATTAACATTTGTCTAATAATTATCTTATCATCGAATCGCTTTTGTTGTTCAATTTTGATTCGTTATTAAAACTGCAAATAGATATTTAAGAAGAAAATAGAAGAAAAATTGAAGAAATAAAAGAAAAATAATGTATGTTTAAAATAAGAGTAATGTAATAATAGAATATAGATAAAACTTCTTTTTTAATGAATAATTACGTACATAAATAATTTTTCAAAAAATATATATATATATATATATATATATTCAAAATATTAGCAACTATTAGCAAGGTAAACAAGTAAAGTAAGCATATATTTTTCGAGAATGATAATATTATCCATCTTACTCAATTTTTCGCATCTGAAAAACATGGCATGGTAACAAGACAAAGAGAGGAAGAAATGGGAGAAAGGGCATGATTGATTATGCAAACACATTGTTATTACTGATTCAGTGTGTCCTGGATACCGCGTGTACCACGGTTGGCAAATGTGTGCACGTTACACAGCTAACCCATTATCAAATTGTGTACTTGGGCTTTCGTTAGGTCGCACACGAACCACAGTGCAGGCTTTGCCGGCACTGAATGTGTATACGATGCACGACGAAAGCTTGAAAGCACAATTCGCTATACCGGTCCCGTTTTATGTTTTCGTGCGAAACTCTATCCTTTCTGTAATCACAATTCCAGTGTGTAACAACGATACAGGAAATGCAACCAATGACACCAAGTGCGATATCACGCATTATCGAAACTAAACTTTTGATATACGACGATAAATATATGATAAAACGTCATGTTTCCATTTCTATCGTTAAAAAATATACATGTATGTGTGCATTTTGATTATATTTGATCACTATATTACAGAGGATTGGTAATTAAATGTTAAAAATTTCAAATATTTGGATAATAATAGATATTAAAATCAATATTTTAAAATATATTCTATTTCAGAAAATAGAAAAAACTATGCCATTGAAGTTATTTTTTATCCTAATATCTCAACCAATTGCCAAATTGCTAAAGATTGTTAATGCTTACTTACAACGCAGAGAATGTAAATGAGTTCATAATTATATATTATATGATCTATATTTTCTCCTGAAAATACGTAATTTTCCAAAAATCAAAATCCAACCTATTCTATACATATTTTATCCTTCACATA